CTACACAGGGATTTCACTGACCTTACAAGGCAGTAAAAGATAAACCAAACCTGAACAATAAGCTGATCTTTTAACTGATCAACTCTGTTTTAAAGTTTGGGGATCCCAGTTGTCCCAAACTAAATTACACATCATTTACACTACTGAATGAGCAGAGATTCAAGCACTTGGTGTCAAGAAGGAAACCGCCCTGGCATCAGTGGAGGTCGATATTTGCATGTGGGGCTTGTAGCCCCCTCCTATTTAGGTGAACTAGTGGTTCCTATTCCAAAATAAGAGGGAATCTCACATTTCTGAGGTTACTGTAGGCCTGACAGAAGCACATCCTTAGGTAAAAGTCTCCAAAAACTGGCTGATGAGATGAGCTCAGTGTGAAGACCCTACCCTACCCTTCACGAGTAAACACCTTCATCACATAAACCATCGAGACTTCAATGGGCTCTCAGGAGCTGCTCCTGCCTTCAAATCATAATCACGCATTTGTAGTGTGATTTGTAATGTGTTTTATCCCTTTTAGTCTACGCTCTTTTATCACCTCCTGTGTCCCATCCAGGACCCAAGCCTGGCTGGTGAAGTGGTGGGTTGGTAACACAGGGAGTTTAAAATACTTCATCACTGCACGGGGGATTTCACATTCAAACTATGTCCTTCATGAAAGAAAGGAACTTGCACAGCTTTGTTGGAGGCAATGAAAGGGGAGTACTTGAATAATGGCCTTAGTCTCCCAGATCATCCTGAGAAAGAATTTAAAACAATTGGGAATTTTATAATGAGCTCCACCTACCTCTGCCTTGGGAACACCCAGCTAATGTCCATAGCCACCCCCCAGAAGCCACGGTTGCTGACCCCAACAGCCAAGTGTTGTGGTAGCTGTACGTATGCACAATTCTGTATTTGATCACAGAATCACAGAATCGCTCGGTTGGAAAAGACCTCCGAGATCATCACGTCCAACCTTAAAAACATATCAGAAACATTACTAGATTGGATACCCAAGAACTGAATCATAGGATTTAGCAAATTTCGTAGGGGAGCCGCCAGTTCAAACTACCTTTGATTGTCAGCCCAAAAATCTTACAAATACTACATTCATTTTCACACTAAAATGGAAAAGGGGGAAAAAAAATCAAGACTAGGAAATACATAGCTCAGTTTGTACTTCTAGCTCATGGCCCAGATAAAGTAAAATCTCATGGCCTTTTCAGTGGCTTATATTAGGAAAGTAAAGGAAGATAACATTACTCCTAGATCAACATCTGGAAGAGAAAGATTAGCTTTTCTTAGCACCTTCTTCTGCATCCAAGCAGAGTAAAACTGAAATAAGCATTGGAAATAAATTTCAATTCACACAAAGTCCCAGGCTTTTGAGTAAAAAACAGATTATCCTGCACTGAAAGAAGACGACCATGGTCTTTGTCTGTCAATCAAGAACCTTTATCAAATACTCAATGCGGTCCTCAACCAAGGGCAAGAAAAACCAAAATACAAGAGGAAATACGGATTTCAGATTAAAGTCTTAGCTTGGGATCTCCACAAGCATGAGCTCCACTTCATTATCTTCAGGCTGTCTTCAGCACAGCTGCCCGAGCACAAGAGGGCATCACAGGGTGCTTTCCAAATCCTCCCTTCCCGCAGAGTCCCCGTCACATTGCTGCTGCAATGGCGATGCTTCTCCTGGCCTGTGCTGATTCATGGGCGTCCAAATTTCAGTTGACTCTGAGTCTATTTTTGGAAGGGATAAATTCAAGGGAAGAACAGGAAAACATTTTCAAGGAAATGGAATTCTTCACGTTTTACTTCAAAACGGTTGACAGGTTGGAGCAGCCCAGATTGCATGATGGTCAGAGGCGGGACATGAAATGTAATGGAAGATCTGCTGCAAAAACTCAGTGCATCCACATCTGGCAAAGCCACCCCTCTGAGACAGTCCCACCAAAAGTGCCCTCGGAGAAACCTTTTGGATGATCCCGCAGTTCTGTGGCTTTCAGGAGAGACGGGCGGGAGAAGGTGAAGATTTGGCTTCCACAAAGCCAGAGACAGACCAACCTCCCAAGCAAAAATCTGCATCAGATCTCACCATACCTGACCTGGCCCTCCATCCATAATTAAAATCCAGTGCTTGCCATGCAAAACTTGGGTTTTTAAAAAAAAAAGTATTTAAGGGTATCAATCCCCATAGTCCATCCAGACTCTGAGCTCCCATCATCTGCTGAGGTGCATGGATTACAGACACCACAAACCGCCTACAAACCAGGGAGCTGACAGGATCCTCCGAAAGCTCCATCCCCTGAGCATCACCAGTATGGACCCTTATACCTTCAGACAACACCAGGTGACTGGGGGAGAAAAACCACCCCAGTCGCACCCGTACTGGGCGCAGGGGCACATTGCTCAACAAACACACATACCACTGGGCATACCTTACCTGGAAAGAGGCTTTATTGAACATAGCTGTAAAATTATCTCTTCAGTTGAATTACTGAATTTGCACAAACATTTCTCTACAGAATAAAAAAAAAAATCAAGCCTTGTCATTGTTTTACTGCATCTCGTTGTGCTTTTTATACTCGTATTTGCAAATGTTATACTTGTTTATTTGTTTGTTTTCATGTTTGTACTCCAATTACTTGCATATCAGTTTTTTTAATCCTAGGGTGTTGAGAGAACACATAATAATAGTAATTATTATTATGATAATAATACTCTTCTTTAGACAAAAGTCTTTTTTTTCTTTTTTGAAATGAAGTTAAAAGCTGAGATAATTTAAGGACAAAGGTCTTCAAATTGTCATAACCAACTGTAAGGGAACTTTACAATGCAGTGGAAAACTGGCTGGCTAACGGTATGTTCGGGTAGCTCAAAACCATTTGTACAGCTTTTATTTTGTTGTAAAAGTGGATTTTTTTTTTTTTTTAAATTTTGCTACAATAACAAAATAATCTTTTGTGATCTGCACAGAGTCTGGCTCCAGGGCAGAGGCACGGCACCCTGGGTGCAGAGAGCTTGGCGGGGCCGTTTTCTGTTTCGGGATGCATGGATGTCCCCCATGCACGCCTCCCCGTCCCGCTATCACTGGGGCCGCCCGCCTGGCCAACAGAGGGGAAAGTCAGAAAATCACTTCTGTGTTTGACCACCACCTCCTGTGTTCGACCACCTTCTGCGCTAAGTGTATCTTAACCACCTCTTCCTCTGGTTGACCCACTTGGTAACCTGAAAAAACCAACATTGACAACAAAAAGAGTGCTGCTCCCATCTCCAGGACCAACGGAAGCTATTTTCTAATGATAATAAGCTGAAAGGCCATGGCTGTCTGGAAGGTTTAAACAACACATATCTCATCCGAAAGGGCTTACGCAGCAGATTAGGTCCATCCATCTCCAGAAGCGGCTTCGTCTCCTTGCCTGCAGTCTGCACACCCAGGCTCCGTAGTTTGTTTAGAAAAGAGTTTGCACAAACCACATTTTAGCAGTGCAAGCTTCTGTGTTGAAATTATTATTCTTATTTTATTTTTTTATATATTTTTTATTTTTTTTTATTTTTAAATCAGGCTTGTTTCATTGAAGGCACTTGGTTTCCATGGCAATTTATAAAAGACGGTGGTTTGGTTTCTTCACTTCATTAGAACAGATGACTTAGTTGGGAAGGGGAGAGGGGTGTTCAAGTGGCCGCAAGCAAACTCCGAGAAGCCTGTGTAATATGTAAGCCCAGGTTGCACATCCTGGATAGTAATGCATGCAAAAAGGAGACAGCATACAGTTATCGAGCATAGCCATGAGAAATGAAACAAATGTCTTAAAACAGCTCTGATTTAGGGTTATTCTCTAGGGGAGGTGACAGCCAAAGTAGAAAGGGCCTACATTTATTTAACTCTATACTAAAAACCTTCTTGAAGGGAAGATGAATGCCAGCTCTTCACATACCCTGTTTACAGTGAGGTGTTTCTCTCTCTCTGTTTTTGTTTTTATTTCCTCTCTCTCTCTCCTTCCTTTTTTTTTTTGGCAGGCCATTACGTTTCCATGGTAACAAGCAAACTATTCATTTGAAACAAAACCAGCCATGACTTTGTGCTTTGACAAGGGTTTCTATAGCTCTTTTCCGAGAGTTCAACCAGACGATGCTGTATTCATTATTGACCACAAAAGCACCTGAAGGTCTCTTCCTTACTTAGGCCAGATTTCGTTCTCACGCGTGGTTCATAGTGAGTTACACTCCCATGATGCCTTTTATGTCCCCAGTGCTTTTTAATTTTTTTTTAATTTATTTATGTATTTATTTAACTTTTGAGTCAGTCAGTGGAGGAATCTTTGGTAGTTTGTTTTTAAATGTCCATTTTACAAAGACTCTTTCTTCATGCCAGTGCCTGGTGAATCTTTTGTAGCCTCTGCCAGAATAAGGTCACCTCTGATGACTTAAGACAGACATGAGGATGATAACTGGGATAAGTCGTATATGCGCTAATGTCCCAACAGCACCTGATCGTAAATCTACAAAAAGGGGGGAAAAAGGCAGAATTAAAGAGCTGCACAGTCAGCATTGCTACAAGGCTCAGAAGATACAGGGCTCAGCCACCACGACCTGTCCTGCACACCAACGTGGAGGTGGCTGGGGAGGACAACGGGGTGATGCCCACCCCAGGCTGTGTCCACTTAGAATCACAGTCATTAAGGTTGGAAAAGCCCTCTAAGATCACCAAGTCCAACCGTCAACCCTACCCCACCATGGCCACTAAACCATGTCCCCAAGAGCAACATCCACACGTTTTTTTGAACCCCTCCTCGGATGGGGACTCCACCACTGCCCTGGGCAGCCCCTTCCAGTGCTTGACCACCCTTTCAGTAAAAAAAATTTTCCTAATAAAAGGCTTCTCACACTGAGTGTCACTGACCTCCCTCACAGAGCCCTGGCCCTGGAAAGAGGGGATGAGAACAGCGCTTGGCAAATGAACCAGACAGGAGATGTTGGATAAAACCCACCCAGCTGTGTATTAAGGTCTGTACTATAAAACACACATGGGGGTGGAGGGATGAAACAAGGTCCAAAAGGAATCACCATACTGACATTAATTAATTTCATATTGTTTGGGCCCCCTGAACATAATTTTAATGTTGCTTTATCTCTCTGCTGCCCTGCCCAATCCCACTGTGGGGCACTGCCCACTGCCCTCGCCCATCAGCCTTTTCCTGGCATCGCTGCT